CTCTTTCAACGCGTGCCTGATCAATGCCATACCTGCTCAATTTCCCGAGAGGATCCGCTGCACGCTTGACATTCTTGAGTGAGAAGACCACTCGGAGCATAGCCGGTATCATCTAGATAAGAAATATGAGCACAAGCCGTGAAAACTTGGAAATTGACACTCACGCTCTCGGTGAAGAGTTCACCCAAGCACCTAGACGGTACGATGAGAATGATACTTTCAAGCCTTCAGACAAGCTTACTGGTGTTCTCCTCGTCCAAAGCTGGAGTAGCGCTCTTTAGGCCGTGCTGGATCCACCTTTTCAGGGTTCACAAAGGAGGCACTCTGGAAAAGCTGCGATGAGACACTGAGACCAAAGCTCATTACAAAAGAACTCACATCCATACTGGCGTTTTTCAGACTGACGAAGATCCTATCTCCAGGTAATACGGAGATAGTCTCGGGTTTGCCAGTAATTGATTCTGGACCCGGGATTTCTGCAGCTTGTGTAGCCCTTCTAAACAAACCTGGAGCCTGGGGCCCTTGAGTTAGCCTTCTCATAGGAGGTGTGATAGACAAGGCCTACCTGGGGATTGATCCGCAGGGCTTCACGAGTATAGCCCATCAAAAGTAGTTCGGCTCTAGGAGTACGATCCATAGCCAATGATATGATATGTTCACGCTCAGTTGTGCGCTTCTCGTCCAAATAGAAGTCTACGACATGGGTAGCAGCTATTGGAAAGGGAAAAAGTCATTATTTTGTATCTTCGTAGTGGTCTAAAAGCATACCGTGTGCAAAGTTTGCGACACTAGCGCATATAAGTCCCAGCACATTGTAGGACAATTGATCCAAATCCAATTTCGAAGTGTTGTTGTCCAACAATGCACGGTAGAAGGCGTCGCTGTGGTCGACTTCATGTGTGATATAATGGATAATACTGTCCCTTATCCCATCCACGGAGAGCTGTGTAGATATCATGATTATTTGCGTGCGCAATCAAAGGGTAGTGGACATACCGAAAAGCCGCCTCCAGAAACCTTTGCCAAACGTGCCTTGATGAACTTGAGGAATTTATCGGCGAAAGAAAGAGAGTTTGTGCGCAAAGGCCAGTCGTTTTCAGGTGCATGGTTGAGGAATATGAAGCTAGATTGGAGAGGTCAGTATCCGTCTAAAGGTATTCATCGATACACATACGTGAAGATGCAGGCAATCATATTGTATACCTCCTGCTCAGTGAAAATACCCCCAGGAGCTTTTTCTGACTTCAAGGGAAGGCCAGCCTGTACGAAGGATTAACGCTGGAAGCCACAATATCGAGCAAAGGCGTTACGTACAATTTCTTCGCAGACCCAATGCACTGGCACGATATTGATAACATCGCGAACAATGTTGACGGCGCGCTTTCCAGGTCCCGACTGGAAGGATCGTAACTTGATCAGTTCTCGGGTGTGCTCTCCATAGAACTCGGCGTATTTGGGTAGGGCACCATCCCGGTAGAGTGCTCGCCTCATCTATGACGGACTATCAGCATTTCCTCTGAAGTGAGAAACTTGACCGTACCATCGACCTAAGGTTTCCATGTCTGGGCTCATCATCGAACGCCAAGAAGAAACCGTAGCCCTTTGTGAGGGCTTTCATGCCATCGGAGTAGACGGTGGAGAACGTCTTAAGGTCATTCAGGACAAAGGCAACGCCTTTAGCGGTGTCAATGGCTTGGACGGGTCGGATTGGATCGCTGGGAAGTTTGGCAAACTTATAGTTTTGTTTGAGGTCCATCTTGGTGAGCCATCGCTCCATCTCCCCTGGTGTGATGAAGGGGAAGCTAACAAAGGATTAGAGAATTTAATTGAAAATTTTCAAGCTACTCACTGGGCGTATACGGATCCCGCAGGATAGTAGTCTGGAAGGGTACGGAAGAGGAGTTTGGAGAACATTCCGCCCATTGAGCCGTTCTTGACGTCCCTCGCGCAGTCTTGGTATCCCCAGCAGGTCAAGTTGAAGGCTATACAATAGAATTAGTGAACATATGGTAATATTGTTGTGCGGTCTCACGTGTAAGGTCGGTGGTCAGGAAGCGGTCGCCGCGAGTGAGGCAAACTGCATCAGCGAGAATGGCACGGGAGATGGTGTATCCTGGGCAGAGACCTGCGCCCTCTGTTGGCTGCTTAGACTCTTCGCACATGAGGCCGACCTATTCAAGTATAATTAGGATGACGCGAGTACATCATGGGCCAGACTTACGTAGAGTTCCAAATTGTCTATATGTTGGTAAAGTTGTCGGGCGGTTTCCTATTCATAGAGTCAGAAATTGTATATTTTTGCAAATGCTACAAGCACTTACCGCGATATCACCAGTGGGATTCCACTCTTCAAAGCTCTCGTACTTTTTGAGACCAACAAATTGGCGGAACTCGTTCATAGTGCAAACGCCCCACTTGCGGGCTTGTTTGATACCCATGACTTCGACGGCCTTCATGACCGAAGGAATAGACCTGGCACCATATGCGCAAGCGCTCGTCTCGGTAGCCTTGTGGAGGATTTTGGCGACCGCATAGTCATCGAAACCACCATCCGCATTTCGGTGCAATCTATCGGTGAATTGAGGTCAGTGCTCGGATGTACAAGTAATGCAGGACACTCACCCGCCAAAAGTCCACTTGTTGGGAATACTTCCTTGGCGCATGGCAAACTGCATTGCGGCCATTTTCAAGTCTGCTGCGCTCAAATCAACGTGTCCAGGTGCCATCTTGTGGATATCATGGGTCTCTGGTAATACACTCTTGAAGGCATCCTCGAGCCATTGTTCGTCGACGGGAGGCATAGTCGCGTGCCACTAATAACAGTTAGAAAATTACAAGTAGATAAAAGCGAGGTCTTACTCTGTAGAGTAGATTGAATTCTACTGTGACTTGGTTTCCTTCGGCCCTGTTGACGACTGTGCGGCCACCTTGGCGGATCTCTTCGAGTGGGTTCAAGCACCACTCGCTAGCCTCGCGGAAAGTTCCAAGAATTCCAGACAAATAGTCGCCTAGTGGAACATGAGAACCTCTTCATGGTCAATGAATAGAGACATACCGAGGATTGCGTTCATGAAATAGGCACAATTGATCAACCGTGCCCTATTAAAGATATCGTCATCTTGCTTCTTGATTATTTCCATATCTTCACCGCCAGCTGCAAATTCTTTGGCGAAGAGTTGTTTGACACCAATACTGTTGGCTTTAGGCGGAGGGAAGGCAGGGCGCTTGTACCAGCCTGCTTCATTGATGTCGAGCAGTTTTTGAGAGACATACTAGGCGGGATTAGCTGTAGTTATAGTGTAAGAGTAACACTCACGTTGTGGTTCCTGCAGAATACGACGAGGAGAGCGCAGACGTGCGGTGGCATCATTGTCAATCTTGGGTCGGCCCAAACGTCCTCCCACAGTCGACCAGTACCGTCAAACCTCCTGACCGCTGACAAGAAGTCAATATCACATCACATTGGGCGACAATTCACTCACTGTTCATTTCGGTCTCATCGACACCGTACAACGGGCTCAAATCGAGATAACTGCTCGTCAGATTGACACTGGGATCCCTCGAGCTCGTCCTAAACAACGAATGGATAATCAAATCGGCAAAGCCAAACATGAGCGAGCTCAATCCACTCGGGTGAGGCTGGCCGTGTCCCTGTCCCCTAAAGCTGGGGGGAGTCTTGACTTGGTCAGCAGCGACGGCAAAGAACGAGTCGTCATCGATAGATGGAGCACCATTCGTCGAAGGTGGAGCCGTGCGCTTCATGAGCAAGTCGAACACCATATCTGGGTCGGGCAGAGTAGAACGCGGGATGGGGTGGAGAGAAGGAACAGCACGTGCATAAGCCGTACCCGCAGCTCCAAGGAGTGGAAGGTGCGGATTGTTTTGCGCACCCGAGGGAGTACGGAACTGACTCGAGTAGGCTTTCCGAGCGGCCTCTGCCGCAGCTTCACTCGCGAAATTGGAGCCTCCTGCATTCTTTGTTGCGGATGGGTCCGTCGTCGTAGGATCTGGTCGGTGTGCACCACTAGGTCCAGCTCCAGGCCACTGCGCATTACCATTAGGAATAGTAGCGAATCCAGATGGAGTGGGTGTAGCTAGCTGTGGGTTGCCACCGGTGGTGGTGGTGGTTGGAGCAGCTCCAGGAGCGGCTGGGCCGTGATTGGGAGGGACGCACGCACGGCCGACGCTCTCTTGGCCTGGTCGAACGGCGGCACCGTTGATAACAGTTGGGATCTTGGTATCTTGGAGCATGGAGGGCAAAAAGTTGACGGGTGGGTGAGGGAGGGCATGATAAAAGAGCCCAATCACGTCGTTTTCCACGCGTTGCTGGAGCTCGCCTGCAAGATTATGATAAGACAGTGAGGAGAGAAGGAGTGGGAGACGTACCTGGTGGCAAGCGCGACATCAAGGAAAGAATCTTTTCGAGGAGAAGTTTACGGTCGTCAATGCCCGTCGAGTTGTTGGCGTGGAGAAACGCGTCGACCAAAGAGGGAAGAGCATCTGGCTTGAGAGGCATACCGCGCTTCAACTATTACAATAAATACATTAGATTTGTAGAAAGGTTATCAGGATTTACTTGCCTGATCCTCGATTCCTTCGACAATTCGGAGTATAAAGGCTTCCTTATCCTTCTTTCCCTCCATGGCTGGAGCGGCCTGGGCGTCGGTGAGACCATCTGCGCTTATTGGTAAACCGCGCATGGAGCGACGAAAGAGCTCGGTCATTTGACCAATAGCCTTGACAGGTGCCTGTCATGAGTAGAACAGAGATAATACAGAGAGCAGTGGATTCAGCGCGATAAAGGGTTTGGGATTGTGTGGTCAAGGAAGGGTTTCCATTGGTCGAAGAAACACGCAGAGTGTGGGTGGTCGGAGATTGCGAACAGACGCGTCGACAAACGATGAATATCGATGAATAATGTGCATGGAAAGATGAGAAATAGTCAGCGAACGTCGTCCCCGACCGAACACGCAACCAAAACTTGGCGGTGGCCAAGACGAATGGTCTCCACCACACTCGCCGCGCATGGACAGACACTCACCAAGGTCGTCTTGATTATAGAAGACATGATAATATACTAATCTCTCTCACAATGCTGTCTTGGTTGAAGAAAGGGGGGGAGTGGTTGAGGAGAAATGTGAGAGTGCTGCACCGGCTGGTCTTTTGAAGCGTTGACAGACGGAATTTGCTGACAGACAAAATGTCCGGAATGCTCAGAATGAATATGCACAGGCAGCCTCGACTCAACCAGACAAGCTGGCTATTTCTCATCTTTCCATGCACATTATTCATCGATATTCATCGTTTGTCGACGCGTCTGTTCGCAATCTCCGACCACCCACACTCTGCGTGTTTCTTCGACCAATGGAAACCCTTCCTTGACCACACAATCCCAAACCCTTTATCGCGCTGAATCCACTGCTCTCTGTATTATCTCTGTTCTACTCATGACAGGCACCTGTCAAGGCTATTGGTCAAATGACCGAGCTCTTTCGTCGCTCCATGCGCGGTTTACCAATAAGCGCAGATGGTCTCACCGACGCCCAGGCCGCTCCAGCCATGGAGGGAAAGAAGGATAAGGAAGCCTTTATACTCCGAATTGTCGAAGGAATCGAGGATCAGGCAAGTAAATCCTGATAACCTTTCTACAAATCTAATGTATTTATTGTAATAGTTGAAGCGCGGTATGCCTCTCAAGCCAGATGCTCTTCCCTCTTTGGTCGACGCGTTTCTCCACGCCAACAACTCGACGGGCATTGACGACCGTAAACTTCTCCTCGAAAAGATTCTTTCCTTGATGTCGCGCTTGCCACCAGGTACGTCTCCCACTCCTTCTCTCCTCACTGTCTTATCATAATCTTGCAGGCGAGCTCCAGCAACGCGTGGAAAACGACGTGATTGGGCTCTTTTATCATGCCCTCCCTCACCCACCCGTCAACTTTTTGCCCTCCATGCTCCAAGATACCAAGATCCCAACTGTTATCAACGGTGCCGCCGTTCGACCAGGCCAAGAGAGCGTCGGCCGTGCGTGCGTCCCTCCCAATCACGGCCCAGCCGCTCCTGGAGCTGCTCCAACCACCACCACCACCGGTGGCAACCCACAGCTAGCTACACCCACTCCATCTGGATTCGCTACTATTCCTAATGGTAATGCGCAGTGGCCTGGAGCTGGACCTAGTGGTGCACACCGACCAGATCCTACGACGACGGACCCATCCGCAACAAAGAATGCAGGAGGCTCCAATTTCGCGAGTGAAGCTGCGGCAGAGGCCGCTCGGAAAGCCTACTCGAGTCAGTTCCGTACTCCCTCGGGTGCGCAAAACAATCCGCACCTTCCACTCCTTGGAGCTGCGGGTACGGCTTATGCACGTGCTGTTCCTTCTCTCCACCCCATCCCGCGTTCTACTCTGCCCGACCCAGATATGGTGTTCGACTTGCTCATGAAGCGCACGGCTCCACCTTCGACGAATGGTGCTCCATCTATCGATGACGACTCGTTCTTTGCCGTCGCTGCTGACCAAGTCAAGACTCCCCCCAGCTTTAGGGGACAGGGACACGGCCAGCCTCACCCGAGTGGATTGAGCTCGCTCATGTTTGGCTTTGCCGATTTGATTATCCATTCGTTGTTTAGGACGAGCTCGAGGGATCCCAGTGTCAATCTGACGAGCAGTTATCTCGATTTGAGCCCGTTGTACGGTGTCGATGAGACCGAAATGAACAGTGAGTGAATTGTCGCCCAATGTGATGTGATATTGACTTCTTGTCAGCGGTCAGGAGGTTTGACGGTACTGGTCGACTGTGGGAGGACGTTTGGGCCGACCCAAGATTGACAATGATGCCACCGCACGTCTGCGCTCTCCTCGTCGTATTCTGCAGGAACCACAACGTGAGTGTTACTCTTACACTATAACTACAGCTAATCCCGCCTAGTATGTCTCTCAAAAACTGCTCGACATCAATGAAGCAGGCTGGTACAAGCGCCCTGCCTTCCCTCCGCCTAAAGCCAACAGTATTGGTGTCAAACAACTCTTCGCCAAAGAATTTGCAGCTGGCGGTGAAGATATGGAAATAATCAAGAAGCAAGATGACGATATCTTTAATAGGGCACGGTTGATCAATTGTGCCTATTTCATGAACGCAATCCTCGGTATGTCTCTATTCATTGACCATGAAGAGGTTCTCATGTTCCACTAGGCGACTATTTGTCTGGAATTCTTGGAACTTTCCGCGAGGCTAGCGAGTGGTGCTTGAACCCACTCGAAGAGATCCGCCAAGGTGGCCGCACAGTCGTCAACAGGGCCGAAGGAAACCAAGTCACAGTAGAATTCAATCTACTCTACAGAGTAAGACCTCGCTTTTATCTACTTGTAATTTTCTAACTGTTATTAGTGGCACGCGACTATGCCTCCCGTCGACGAACAATGGCTCGAGGATGCCTTCAAGAGTGTATTACCAGAGACCCATGATATCCACAAGATGGCACCTGGACACGTTGATTTGAGCGCAGCAGACTTGAAAATGGCCGCAATGCAGTTTGCCATGCGCCAAGGAAGTATTCCCAACAAGTGGACTTTTGGCGGGTGAGTGTCCTGCATTACTTGTACATCCGAGCACTGACCTCAATTCACCGATAGATTGCACCGAAATGCGGATGGTGGTTTCGATGACTATGCGGTCGCCAAAATCCTCCACAAGGCTACCGAGACGAGCGCTTGCGCATATGGTGCCAGGTCTATTCCTTCGGTCATGAAGGCCGTCGAAGTCATGGGTATCAAACAAGCCCGCAAGTGGGGCGTTTGCACTATGAACGAGTTCCGCCAATTTGTTGGTCTCAAAAAGTACGAGAGCTTTGAAGAGTGGAATCCCACTGGTGATATCGCGGTAAGTGCTTGTAGCATTTGCAAAAATATACAATTTCTGACTCTATGAATAGGAAACCGCCCGACAACTTTACCAACATATAGACAATTTGGAACTCTACGTAAGTCTGGCCCATGATGTACTCGCGTCATCCTAATTATACTTGAATAGGTCGGCCTCATGTGCGAAGAGTCTAAGCAGCCAACAGAGGGCGCAGGTCTCTGCCCAGGATACACCATCTCCCGTGCCATTCTCGCTGATGCAGTTTGCCTCACTCGCGGCGACCGCTTCCTGACCACCGACCTTACACGTGAGACCGCACAACAATATTACCATATGTTCACTAATTCTATTGTATAGCCTTCAACTTGACCTGCTGGGGATACCAAGACTGCGCGAGGGACGTCAAGAACGGCTCAATGGGCGGAATGTTCTCCAAACTCCTCTTCCGTACCCTTCCAGACTACTATCCTGCGGGATCCGTATACGCCCAGTGAGTAGCTTGAAAATTTTCAATTAAATTCTCTAATCCTTTGTTAGCTTCCCCTTCATCACACCAGGGGAGATGGAGCGATGGCTCACCAAGATGGACCTCAAACAAAACTATAAGTTTGCCAAACTTCCCAGCGATCCAATCCGACCCGTCCAAGCCATTGACACCGCTAAAGGCGTTGCCTTTGTCCTGAATGACCTTAAGACGTTCTCCACCGTCTACTCCGATGGCATGAAAGCCCTCACAAAGGGCTACGGTTTCTTCTTGGCGTTCGATGATGAGCCCAGACATGGAAACCTTAGGTCGATGGTACGGTCAAGTTTCTCACTTCAGAGGAAATGCTGATAGTCCGTCATAGATGAGGCGAGCACTCTACCGGGATGGTGCCCTACCCAAATACGCCGAGTTCTATGGAGAGCACACCCGAGAACTGATCAAGTTACGATCCTTCCAGTCGGGACCTGGAAAGCGCGCCGTCAACATTGTTCGCGATGTTATCAATATCGTGCCAGTGCATTGGGTCTGCGAAGAAATTGTACGTAACGCCTTTGCTCGATATTGTGGCTTCCAGCGTTAATCCTTCGTACAGGCTGGCCTTCCCTTGAAGTCAGAAAAAGCTCCTGGGGGTATTTTCACTGAGCAGGAGGTATACAATATGATTGCCTGCATCTTCACGTATGTGTATCGATGAATACCTTTAGACGGATACTGACCTCTCCAATCTAGCTTCATATTCCTCAACCATGCACCTGAAAACGACTGGCCTTTGCGCACAAACTCTCTTTCTTTCGCCGATAAATTCCTCAAGTTCATCAAGGCACGTTTGGCAAAGGTTTCTGGAGGCGGCTTTTCGGTATGTCCACTACCCTTTGATTGCGCACGCAAATAATCATGATATCTACACAGCTCTCCGTGGATGGGATAAGGGACAGTATTATCCATTATATCACACATGAAGTCGACCACAGCGACGCCTTCTACCGTGCATTGTTGGACAACAACACTTCGAAATTGGATTTGGATCAATTGTCCTACAATGTGCTGGGACTTATATGCGCTAGTGTCGCAAACTTTGCACACGGTATGCTTTTAGACCACTACGAAGATACAAAATAATGACTTTTTCCCTTTCCAATAGCTGCTACCCATGTCGTAGACTTCTATTTGGACGAGAAGCGCACAACTGAGCGTGAACATATCATATCATTGGCTATGGATCGTACTCCTAGAGCCGAACTACTTTTGATGGGCTATACTCGTGAAGCCCTGCGGATCAATCCCCAGGTAGGCCTTGTCTATCACACCTCCTATGAGAAGGCTAACTCAAGGGCCCCAGGCTCCAGGTTTGTTTAGAAGGGCTACACAAGCTGCAGAAATCCCGGGTCCAGAATCAATTACTGGCAAACCCGAGACTATCTCCGTATTACCTGGAGATAGGATCTTCGTCAGTCTGAAAAACGCCAGTATGGATGTGAGTTCTTTTGTAATGAGCTTTGGTCTCAGTGTCTCATCGCAGCTTTTCCAGAGTGCCTCCTTTGTGAACCCTGAAAAGGTGGATCCAGCACGGCCTAAAGAGCGCTACTCCAGCTTTGGACGAGGAGAACACCAGTAAGCTTGTCTGAAGGCTTGAAAGTATCATTCTCATCGTACCGTCTAGGTGCTTGGGTGAACTCTTCACCGAGAGCGTGAGTGTCAATTTCCAAGTTTTCACGGCTTGTGCTCATATTTCTTATCTAGATGATACCGGCTATGCTCCGAGTGGTCTTCTCACTCAAGAATGTCAAGCGTGCAGCGGATCCTCTCGGGAAATTGAGCAGGTATGGCATTGATCAGGCACGCGTTGAAAGAGACCTTCTAAAACGCTTGCAGGGTCGATCACAATCTCTTTGGTACAGAGTCGCAGCTTTATATTTCCAACAAGGGTACAGTTAGCCCGTGGCCTGGCTCTCTCCTCATTGAGGTATGTGTTCTAAATCGCAGCTTACCAGTTACTGACAACCTTGGCAGTACGAGTTGTAGGATCTCAAGCCAGAGATCTGGTAGTGATATGCAATTGTGTTTTTACGGCCTCATAAAACTGGCTCTAATAGTTTTTCATTTCATTTCCAATTCCGGAACCTCGTCTGCTTCAATCGTCTACAAGTTGCATGATGCATTGTATCCTCATGATAGTCATATAAGTTACCTAGTTTCATTGTGATCGCCATTTCATTTCCAATCAATTGCCCCAATAAGATTGAAAGACTAATAAGTACATAGGTTTACAAGAAGAGTCGTTCGTAGCGATATGTGCATGAGTACCTACACGGACAGTTAGTCATGTGTGCATAGCAAGTGCATCTCAAAGATACGAACCCGTCATAATCAAAGTTGTCTCCTTCTTCGCACCAGCATTTCCCACTCGAATGGGCACTTCCTTGTGGGCAATGTTGGAATGGGTTGTGTCGGTACCCTATCTCTCTAAAGAAGTGAATCTGCTCCTTTTTGGAGAAGAGTGCAGCGCCAATGCTGTGGACTGGGGCGTCTCCCCAGCGCTGGATATGGCAAGTAGTGAGCGATCTGAAGGTCGCAATAGGCCGAGTTACCAAACTCACCTCATAGTAGAAACCACCTTGTTCATCTAAGAAGTCAAAGTAGTCACTGTAGGCTTTGGATCGCCATAGGTCCATGTCCGCAATTTCAAAGTTGCTCCAGACTAGTAATTAGAGCGTAAGTACCATTCAATGGAGAAGATGGAAATATGAGAAATTATACGCACAGTGGCATAGGTTGTAGCTTGCACCATCGTCGTCACTTAAGAATCGGAGGGCATTGCCTTCAACAAGATGTTCTGGGTGTCGCTTCATGAACTCTATCGAGGTGATATTAGCCGCTAGTCAATATAGCCAAGGAACAGTCGAACCTTTTGTGACCGTCCAAAGTGATGGTATAGTCCGCTCGAATTCATAAAGAGAGATAGTGAACCCGTAAGTTTTGTTGTTTTCTTGCATGAACATAAATGGATCCGAATTGACATCGCAAAAGAAGGTTACTCCGGGCCTATTTCAGCCGATCAGTCCTGAGTGTTCCGAACTGCATTTGAAATGATAGGGAACCGAAGAAATACTTACTCGATACGCCAGTAGTATTTAAATTGCTGCAATAGCGGATGCCTGTAGAAGAACTAGAGAATATCACAGTAAGGGACCAGTAGCCCGGATTTTGCCAAGATTGCCATTGACTTACTCCTGAATTGAACCGACACATGTTTCGGTACCTGAGGGGCGATGTCGGTATTTTCAGCCAATCAAGAGGAGGCGACGGCAGATTCTTCGGGGGAAGATTTGGAACGAGAAGGAGAAGCAAACTTACGGTACAGATCCTAAAATCGTGATTTGAGCCTTCTACTGACGAAATAGATCAAAAAAAGACTCACCCCACCTCGCGCTAATGCGACCTTTGTTATGCTGGCTCGTAACAGCGAACTCAAGTATGTGATAGAAACCCTGAAGGGGATCGAAGATCGTTTTAACCGCCAATTCCACTACTCTTACGTCTTCCTCAACGAGGAGCCTTTTACGGAGCACTTCAAAAGGTGAGGGTCGACTTCGTTCATGAGAATGAATCAGCTCAGTAAATTCCTTTCATTTCTGTGCAACTAAGATGGACACAAGAGATCATTTCGGGACAAGCTTATTACGGCTTGATTCCATC